CTAACTGAAACTGTTTTTAGAATAGTCAGTTTGCAGAGAAGTGTTCATGTGTGTGGAAAAATCAGACTCTCCTAAGAATATTTTTTTAACCATATCCTTATAGATCAACATGTGCACAGTACTGAGGGCACTGAGGGAAGTGCCTCCACTTAAGTGCTTCCTCTCTGCGTCAAAAAAGGCAGGCAATATTTTATTACAAAGTTGTTTATTCCTTATCTGTGTTTACTTACTTTCATATCTGTATAGGTGATGGGGGCAGGGTTTGACTGTTTTGAATCTGACTTGGATTCTTTTTTTGTAAAGTGTGAAATTTGGTTAATGTTCTCTCTATTGTATCTATGTGTACAGGTTCCTATGTGGTCATGTAAAATATCTGATGTTTGTACATATATAAATATATGTATAAAAATAGAAAAAGCTTTGTTTAGCCAAAGATGATTTTTTTTACTATATAAAACTACAGGTTTATTTTGTATAAACTAAATAGTTTGCTTACTGTAAGAGCAATACAAAAAATAAAACTGTAAAATTAACACACGTGTTCTTGTTGAACAAAGGTTGGCTTGGAGTGGTTTTGTACCATTGTTTGTAATTTATTTCTCCAACAGGAATTTTGACACGTATATGCCAAATGTACTGTATGTAATTCTACAGTCTTCTTTGTGAAACCTCAGGTAAATCAAATCATTTTCTAGAACTGTTGGTTAATGGCTTGACAACTACACATGCTGTGAAGCAGCATTAAAATTTACTTCTCTTAGTTTGTATAAGTGAGTAGCTGTGTTGATGTTCTGGCCAATAAACATGGAAGTTGTCAGCTGCTGCTCTGCTGTAATTACTGCTCTGAGTACATACTGCTTATTTCTTAGTGACTGACTGGACATTGTAGTTTCACAAACTACATAAAACCCTTAAGCCACTTACGAAAAAGAACCTACAACTTTAATCTTTGTTTTGGAAACATAGGGTTAGTGTTGAGTGGAATATTACAAAGGAGAAAGACTTTCTTGTCCGAGATCCTTCACTGGAAGAGTGTAGCTGGTGGCCCTTCAAGAGTCTCATTCCAACTTGCCGCTGAAGAATAGGTCTATTTCTATCCAGCACACATATTTTTACAGGATTTTGTTTAATGGATGTGAGTATCCAGAAGTTTTCCAGAGTTTAAATTCAGAGAGTGGGGTTCATGGAGATATGCATGATAGTGAAATCATGGGCCCTTGGGCATTGAATTTTGAGGGATTCTCTCTAAGGCAAGGTCTGTTGGCAGCTAAAGGCATATATTCAGCAGTTGTCTTAACTCAGGACACTTAGATGTCAGTCCAGCAACACACAGCTATTCCCATTAAGGCTTTCCTTTAATTGTGTTCACTCTAAAACCAGATGCAGAATAATCTTTAGGAATTTGTCTTTATGAAGGGAGGCAGCAGTAATAAAGCATGCTGAGGAGCAGTCAAGGATTTCTTAGAAGAATCTGTGAAATCAGTCAAGAGGCATTTCAGGAGCGGAATTGGCTTTTCTAGGAAAGACGGATAAAGTTTCAGTGGTGGCTGGCTGTTTCCTGTGAAAGGTAACTTGCTCCAGAAGGAGTGAGTTAGTACCGGTAGTATTGGTAATATTCATCTGTAGTAAAATGGGAAAACAAAGTGAAGTGACTTTTTTAATAAGCCAAGGTGTGTTTCTAAGACAGGGTATACTGTACAAGGTTAGTGCTTTAGGCTAAAGCTAAAATTCTGTAATCTCATCTTTGCATTTCATTATGCCCATACCTGAATTGCAGCTTAAAGCTGTTGTCCAGCTCACTGTTCACATCCAATTTGTGATGGGTTCAGTGATACAGCAGAAAGCATGCGATATGGTTTGGAGCACTTTGAAGTGGTTTTGACCCTGTACTGTTAGCTTTGTTGTGATGTCAGAATTGTATTAGTACAAGGAAATGCTGCTGTGTATTAGAAAAAGTGGAACTATTAGTTCCCACATAAATCTTTTTCTGCATTTCAAATGCGTGAGTCCCTGACAAGAATATCGAAACCTGCAATGCTATAAAAAGTGTATTTGAACCTAAGACTAGAAGAACTTTATACTAGCTGGCACTTCTAATTTAGAATCAAAAAATAGCCTGAATTGGAAGGATTCAGTTGCTGTCCCTGCACAGGACAGCCCCAAGAATCCCACCATCTGCCTGAGAGTGTTGTCCAAATGCTTCTTGAACTCTCTCTGGCTTGGTGCTGTGACCTCTTCTCTGGGGAGGCTGTTCCAGTGCTCAGCTACCTGAACAAAGAACCTTTTTATAATATCTGACCTAAACCTTCCCCAATACAACTTCAGGCCATTTTCTTGCATCCTGTCACTGTGCACCACAGAGAGGAGATCAGCATCTGTCCCTCTTCTTCCCCTAACAAAGCTGGAGATCGCAATGAGGTCTCCTCCAGGCTGAGCAGACCAAGTGACCTCAGCTGGCTTCCCCTCCAGGCCCTTCACCATCATTGTTGTCTTCCTTTGGATGCTCTTTCCTACAGCTGAATGTCTCTCTTATATTGTGGCACCCAAAACTGCCCCCAGCACTTGAGGTGAGGCTGCCCCAGCTCCGAGCAGAGCAGGACAATCCCCTCCCTTGCCCAGCTGGCTGTGCTGTGCCTGATGCACCCCAGGACAGGGTTGGCCCTCCTGGCTGCCAGGGCACTGCTGGCTCATGCTCAACTCTCCCTTGACCAGGACCCTTTCTATGGCTCTGCTTTCCAGCCTCTCATTGCCCAGTGTGTATGTACATTGCCCCATCCCAGGTGCAGAATCCTGCTGTCACACACAAGACAGAGTAAATGCTCCATACTGGATTTGGATACCAGGGTTTACTGGGACCAGACTTTTCACCCTTCTTGGCTGTGATCAGCTCCTGCCCCAGCACTATGTTCCTTGGGTCTCTGCTTCCCAGCAGGGACATCACTCCTGGTCCAGGAAGGTCAGGCATGAAGATGTGCTGGTTCCCACTGTGCTGCTTCTCACAGTTGCCTATTCCAGTCACCACTGGCCAAGGTCCCGTCTCACTGATCTGCAGGATATATTCCCTCCCACCACATCCACACACAGCCTGCTGTCATTCACACTGTCAGCTGATTCCCTCTATGGCAGATGCTTATAGCAAGGAAGTGTCCTAAGGCACCACAGATTCTTGCTTCTCTCCAGCTGCAACCACCACCATCCCTGTGCCCTCACCCTGCTTTCATGCACAATTAATTATATGGCCCATTAACAAGCTTGTACAAGCAGTCCTTCAACAACATTAATTATTCTGCTGCTAAAGCAGAAATACACAAAATTGTCCATGAACAGCCCACTGTCACCTGCCCTGTCCCCTGAGAAAACCAAAACCTCAGACCAGGTTGCTCTGAGGGCAGAGTGAAGTAGGCAGCCTGTGGTTCTGGACCTGCCAGGGTGCAAGTGGGATGGGACAGAAATGTGCTGGGCCCAGATTAAGCTGCTTGCTTCTGCAGTGAACACCAGAGCTCATTCTCTGACAGGATGGACACATCACAGGTGCTGCAACTCTTGCTCTTTTCTCAAGTTTTCACAGCCAGCAGAGGTGAAGAGGGTGCTCCTGAGAAACACCTGGGCACTGTGGAAGCTGCTGGAGATGCCAGGTCAACAACATCTCACAAGGCAGCACAGAGGACCCAGGCCTGAGTCAAAGGTCTGAGACAGCTGAAGCAGTGAGGAAAAGCTTTGCGGACTTGGTGACCATATTTGGAAAGAAGAGACATGAAAATAAAATGGCAATGGCAGGTATGAGAGTATATGGATGAGAAAGGCCTGTGGAGGTCTGGGTGGTTTGCATGAAAACACATCTCTCAGCGGTAAGAAAAGTAGTCCTGCTGCGCCTAAAGCATTTGTTTGTGACGTGTGCATAAACCATACTTCTGCTGTGTTAGGCTGAAGCTAGAGGAAAGGCAGGGCTCTGAAGGAATATTCAAACAGGACTTTCAGGGAGACACATACAGCTTGTGCGAGAGACAAGGGTGCAGTGGTACATTAATCAGAGATAATTCTAAAAGAAGAGGTGAGGCTACTGTCATTTGAGAACTGGCCACTGGTTAGTAGGAGTATGTTCAGGGAGAAGAGTCTGAAATAGAAATCAGACATGTGCCTTATAAAGTGGAAGAAAAGGGCCAGAAGTTCCACAAGAGGAAAAACCAAATATTTGGAATTTCCATGAAATTTAGGCCTGGGCTTTGGCAAGAGTACATGGTAGGAGGTCTTAGTATTGGCAACTCAGTTCTGATGGCTCCAATTTCTCACAAAATACCATTTTGACAACTCGCCTTCCTTTTTTAAACCTTGTCTCTCACAGATATCAGTTCTGAATGGGCTTGATGGTGTCTGTTCAGCCCAGCTGATGAAGGGTCACTGTGCTGAAAGCCTGTGTTTCTAACTTAAGACTCGAGTCTTAGTTCCTGTGGCCTCCATTTTCAAAGGCTCAGTCTAACACATTCTAAATTAACTCACCAGGCAGCAGAGTATGAAATCGGACATGACCGATCGATCCTTGAGCATTGATTCTAAGCGAAACTAATGGAATGTAAAGAAAATGTAAGACTCTATTGTACTGTAAAGGCTGTCTATTCAGCCATTTTACAAAATAAAATTTCATTTGGGAGCTGGGTGGAGGTGTAAAGTTCAAAGAACTGTCTAAAACAAGGCGTAGGGACTTTACAAACTGCTGCCATACAGATTAAGCCTTGGGGGAATGGCTTTGTTAGACACCACTGACTAAAATAATTGCATGATAATTTTGGCTAGAGGCACCATCCTATCATCTGATGATTTTTAAACCGTGCACGAATAGTTCAGACAGAGCGATCTTGGCATCCAGCTACATAAAACTGAGAAGCCCGTTCAGTGTACCACGTCTATGCTTTGGCTCTTGGGGAAAAGAAAAAAAAGGAAAAAAAAGGAGATGCCCTAGGACTCTCGAAGAGAGGTCTCTGAGAAGTAACGACAAGCAGTTCTGCATGCTCCTTCTGCAGTGCTCTAAGAGACTAACCAAGGGCTTTCTCCTAAGGTAAGTGGCAGAAAAATAATTCTTCCTAGGGCAGTAAGGAGCAGGCAGGTGCCTGTCAGACTTGAAGCAATGCAAATTAAATCCATGAGTATTTGCATCTTAACATTTAACTTCTGACAAGAAATTTAAAGTTTTATGCTGCTGTTTCGTACCTCAACTGATGAAAACCTGGCATGAATGTAACGTAGAAGTGATTTGAATAGTGGCAAATGACAAGACGATTTTTAAAGAAGTAACAAAATCAAAAAATAGAGGAACTTTCTCCAAGAGAAATGGTGGATTTCCATCTGGTTCTAACTGATTACATGTGTGAATTTTTATTGTTTGAAATAACCATGTAAAAATACTTGGGCAGACACAAAGTTAAATGGTATAATGAGAAGTGTCTCAGGTATGTACTTTCTATACTAAAAACGGTGTATATCTAGTCTACAATACTAGTAGTATAGAATAGGCTGTACTACTAGAATTTCTAGTCTACTAGTAAACTGGAAATAATGATATCATTGATATTTAAGATTACTGTCTTACAGTAAACTGAAATTACTCTGTTACACAGAACTCAATTAAAAGCAGGGAAGGGGAAAAAACGGAAAAATCAGAAGCATGTTGCTATGACAAGGTTGTGAAGTAGTTTGGGCTGATTTCTTAGAAATGCTGGCTTTTGTGGCTCTAAACTAAGTTTATTTTATGCACATTATTCACTGTGTCATTATTTATACTGCAGATCTACCAGTGCAGAGCTGAGGGGAAGTGTCCTGGTATCAAAGGCTCACTTAAAGGTTGAATTATACCATTCCTACAATTACATTACTTCCCTCTGCTGGCTTTTATAATGCAAAGGTTGAGGACAGAGTTATTTAAACACTGGTAGAAACAACTTAAGTAACAGAACTCCGTAGAGCCAGAGTGATGCCTTTATACACTTCCCTTGCCCCAAATAGTTACACCCACTTTACATTCCAAAACAGACAATGACAGTTTCTACTGCTAGAGAATTTAATTAGATTTGGGATTAAAACATATTTATTCCTGAATTTACATTGTAGCATCACACTTGGGGTTTTGTTGTTTGGTTGGGGTTTTTGCTGAGTCAATCTGTTTCAGTGAGGGATCAGCCGTTTCAAGGCAGTGAATATACCTAAAGCTCCTTTGCTTAACTGTTGCATTGGACTACAATAATTATTGCTGACTTTCTGTTTTCCTCATGTGTCTCATTGCAATGATATGCGTGGGAGGGAAGGAGTGGGGAAACACGATATTCTAGGTGCATAAAAAAACCTAAGAAATTGCTTGGCTAGATCTGTTTCCTTAGCCAGTTTCATGTGTGAAAATTCAAATTTGCAGACAAAAAACAGTCCCATAAACATAATAATAAAGTCTGTAGGATGCCTATGCTGAGAATGACTTCATGGCTGGTTACAACTGAAATTTTTTACTTGCAGTGTGGGTAAATAAAACCTTGAAGCAAAACTGAACTTCTGGGGATTGTGTCATGAATCAAGCCATATTAACAATGGTGATATCACGCAGCTATGCTGTCATTTAAATATATAGAAGATTTAGGGCACGTCAACCAGCCACTTTTCAAAAAAGGCTTAGAAATTGCACTTTACTAAAGGTTGTGGTTTAGTGGAATTTGGGATGTTCTGAAAGTATTGTATCATAAAAAAAAAAATCAAGTGTGAACCCTAAGGTAGGTATGAACCCAGTTGCTTTCAATAATTTATTGCTATATTAGTAGAAAAAGTTCCAGGGACACAACACCAAACATGCAGTTGATTCACAAATAAACAGTCAAATATCTTACATCTCAGTTTCCCACATTACCTGAAGCTCCAAAATAAAGCCTCAAAAGAAGCAGCTTGTAAATCAAACAGAATATAGACCAATTTGATTGAGAATCAAACTGTTTCTGGGAAAGAGGTAGTTAAAAAGATTTTCACTCACTCACTGCTAAAAACCTCCACATCACTCTGATTTCATTATCTCATATATTAAAATTTATAATTAAGATGCAGTAAAACTTGATGCATAAGAACAGAGGTATTAACCCTAGCAGCACTCAGTTTATTGATATTATCCTAAAACTGAGACTGCAAATGTAAATCAGTGCAAATGTGCAAATCAGCTACGCGTTTGTGGTTTTAGGAAGCCGAGAGAGCAATTTGTGAGTTGTTACCCTGGTAGATGGGAAAATATTGGATGGACGGATGGATGGATGGATGGATGGATGGATGGATGGATGGCGTTAAAATTGCTACTTCATTGGGGTGAAAAATGAAACTTTTTAAAGTCACAGTTATAGGACACTTCTCAAAACTTATCCAACAAATTAAAGGCAAAAACATTACCTATTATGGCAAAACTATGGCAAACCCCTAGTCAATATAGTGTAGAGTGGGTGTAGAATGAAACTATAGTTGGCAAAGAATTTGCAAGGTGAGGAAAAAGTCATCTTCATTTCTAATGGGAAGAAAATAATATAAAACTATGAGCAGGTATGAAGTACTTTGGCTTACAGCTGAAATCAATCTTTCTTAATCTTAAAATAATCTCACATTTGCATCTTTGACCAGTAATCATGAAATTTGAATTCATTTAAAGACCCAGTAAGAAGAGAATAATGATGAACTTTGAAGAGCTCTCCAGCTACCAGAAGAATGTATCTGAAACACATTTTTTAAAATTTAAAAAAAAAACCCAAAGCCAAATCAACCAAACAAACAAACAAACAAAAAATGGCCATTTCCAAAATAAATCCATAATTGGTAAGTGGAGAATAATGATGAATATTTAAGAGCTCTCTGCCTGCCAAAAGAATGTTTCTGAAACACATTTATTAAAATTTAAGAATAAAACAAAACAAACCAAAACCAAAAACCAAAAATCCAAACCAACTAAAAATGGCCATTTCCAAAAGAAATCCATCATTGCAGGCAATTTTTTTTTTAATTTTATTTATTTATTTTATTTTTTATTTTCCAGAAATGAACTTCTGACCATGGGGGACTGGAACTTGTTGGGCAGCATCCTTGAAGAAGTGCACATCCACTCCACCATAGTTGGCAAAATCTGGCTCACAATCCTTTTCATATTCCGGATGCTGGTGCTGGGAGTGGCTGCTGAAGATGTCTGGGATGATGAGCAGTCAGAGTTCATCTGCAACACCGAGCAACCAGGCTGCAACAATATCTGTTACGACAAAGCCTTCCCCATCTCTTTGATCAGATACTGGGTACTGCAGATCATATTTGTCTCCTCCCCATCCTTAGTGTACATGGGCCACGCGCTCTACAGGCTAAGGGCACTGGAGAAAGAGCGACAGAACAGGAAAGCCCACCTGCGGGCTCAGCTCGAGGACCTGGAGCCCATGCTCGAGGAACACAGGAGAGTGGAGAGAGAACTGCGTAAGCTGGAGGAACAGAAGAAAGTGAATAAGGCACCCTTGAGGGGGTCCCTGCTGCGCACCTATGTCCTACATATCCTGACCCGGTCGGTGGTCGAAGTGGGCTTTATGATAGGTCAGTATCTTTTATACGGGTTTCACATGTCTCCCCTTTACAAATGCACTCGGCCCCCTTGCCCTAACACGGTGGATTGTTTTGTGTCCCGACCCACAGAGAAGACCATCTTTATGGTTTTCATGAACAGCATCGCCGCCGTCTCCCTCTTCCTCAACATCCTCGAAATCGCCCACCTGGGCATCAAGAAGATCCAGAAGAGCCTGTGCGGGCAGCCGCAGTGGCCGGCGGGCCCCTCCGAGGAGGACCCGAGCCTGTACAACTCCAAGAAAAGCTCGGTGGTGCCTCCGCCGCCCTGCCTGGCCAGCAACGCGTCCCCGCCGCGCCCCGCGCCCGCTCCGCTCCCGCCGCCCGCGCCCGCCGCCCCCGCTCCGCCGCCGGCCCGGCAGCACCGCGGGCAGCTCCGGGGCACGCCGCCGCCTCGCCGCCGGCACCACGGACAGCACCAGCCGCCCTCCTCCAGCAGCGAGGAGGCTCCGCGGGCCGCCCCGGCTGGGGGCGGGC